CGGCAGTTACGATATGTTACGCGTAATATAAGTTGTGGCTTACGTTAAAATATGTCATCACCAGCCTATGCTCTTGTGTATCTAAGTGGGTACCATTTGATTACGTTCTTTGTCCCATTATTTATTTGGTTTCCCACAAGGTACGTTGGGATTATATTAAGATTAATTAAATTTGATTTTATGTATTATAACGTTTCATTTTCATGGAGCGTTACTCTCATTAGAATATTTTACAGTTATTAGAAGATTAAACTTGAGACATCTAGTTAAAGATGAAGAAATCTTAATTATTTTATCACAACTCATGATATTGGTTCCATTATTGTATATTGATTATGACCACTAGGGTTGGAATTTAGTTTGTTTTTTTTTTAACTTTCTATATGATGCAAATTAAATAGTATATATTTGTTACTTTTAACACGTATAAATATATAAATGAAACACACCTTAAATCTTGAGGTAAAACTCAGTAATTTAGGTTTAACTTTTATCAAGTAATAAAAATTATGGTTTATCATTGATAAACTAAAAATCTTGATTTATTATTAGCAAGTAAAAAACTAAAAATGTATATAAACAAACGTAAATTCATAGGTATTGAACTTTAGTACATATTTCAAATGTTGGTGAAATAGTGAAAAAAAATTTGGCTGAGGAATATCTCAAGCAGATAATTGTTTTTACTCGCAACATTTCAAGTTTTTTTTTCAAATGAAATTTAATTTGTCCAAGTACAATTACTTTGTTCTTAATAAAAAAAATTATCTTCAATTTCAAGTACTTTATTAAATGAAGAATTTAACTTTATTACGTGTAGTTTCGTTTATGGTTACAGAGTGAGTGAATTATAATATATTATTTGCAGTCGAGCTTAGAATTGAAGGTTTTATGTGGGATTAATTACCATGTTAGATTAATTTATCCTAAAGTTTGGTACACGTACTAATTACTTTTGAGTGACCTGCTAGTTTATCTAATCTATACTTAATAAAAATTGTTGGCCTAATCTCAAAAAAAAAAAAAAGGGTGGTATAAAGTTAGGTAAATATTTACTGATTTACAATTTAATTACCCCATTCAAATTTAATTGTGACATACAAGATACCCAATATTATAATTATAACTTTAGATAAGGATGATATATCCTTATCAGATGAGACAAGAGAGGTTGAGTAAAAAGACCAAAAAAACAGCTAATACACTTAAAAAATAATTATTCAACTTGGATATTGATTTCTTGTTTTAGTATAGAATTTAAATTTTAGAAATTACATAATAAATGTGTGTAAGAAATTGTAGACAACATCTTTCATAAGTGGAATTTGATAATGAAGGTAATGTATATGCAGTTTTATTTTTTACGTTATAAAAATAGAAAAATTATTTTCAAACTTTCGATTCAAGTAAATGAAATAAGTGTCGTGAATATTGTTAAATGGTTTATTAGTTTTTACAAAGGATGATGTTTCATCATTCCTCGACGTCACTTATTTCGTTTTTATTACTTTAATTGGCTTATTTTGTTACATATTCCAATTTGTAGCACTTCTCTAATTTTGGATTGTGATCCCTATTTTACGTTGCAACTTGCACAAGATATTGTTTTGGTATCCACTTATATCATTGCTTACCATCAACAATTGGATATATATAACACTTTCTTATCTTTAATAAGATATTTCATATTCAAGTTTTAGGATGTACATATTAAAAAACTTTTGATAGAAGTGTTATCTTTTTGACGAGCATTAATAAAAATCTGAATTAATTAAACCTTCAACAATATCAAACATCGAATGTGAACAAAATAATATATATATATATATATATATATATGTGTGTGTGTGTGTGTGTTTGGAGAGAGAGAGAGATATGGTTCAATCTTTTTGTCAAATTAGCCATCTGGATGAAGTTCTCGATTTTTGCACTAACCTTTTTTTTCTTCCACTCTCCTCTTCACTTGCCACACCCCAACTTCTTCTCAATTATAGCCCCCTATGAAATGAATTGAGGCATAAAATCACTCAACAACAAGGCAAGCCACTCCTTCATCTCATCCAAAGTCTTTTCAACTCCGTCATTTCAGCCCTCAATGCTGACCAATCATTGCTAACTTTTGGTCTCTCTACTGCTCCTCAATTCGAGTGGAGGACCTATCAATGTTCTCCTCATACACTCTGGACTTCTCTTTATAACCTCTCATTTCCTTTTAAATGGGAACAAGGGTGCACAAACCAAAGTACACCCTAGGTGTGACATGCCGTATAAGACCCCGAGAGGCCCTACACAAGCCTCTTGACATGCATATACACAACATAATAGAGAAAAACAAGAAATCTCATTAAAATGTAAAGAGGTTTACATAAGTGGAAGTACATCAAAGTCGAGACAAGCCATCTATTACAACAATGAGAGTGGTTCAGACGTAACCCGTACACTACATACAAAGTCTGAAACATAAATACATAAGAAAGCAAATAGAAACAACATGGTCCTTGGAGCATGAGGACTCACCAACTCTTGATCTTCAAATGTATCAATGAGATCAACTAGCCATGAATAGAGGGAGAGTAATTGTCATGCCCTACATTAGTGAAACAATATAGACACAAGTATGCATTAGTACATGTAATGTACTATGTTTGAGGGAAATGCAATAAAACACGTGACATGATCATAAGGGGACTTAATTAAAAACATGATATGCATGACCAAACTAAGATTACTAAAATCAGTCCTCCAAAATAAGAGTCATTAAACTACACTTATTTTTCAACCAACACAACAACAACATATTCAGTTTAATCTCATATAAGTACATATATGTAGATCTTCGCTACCTTTATTCTTGTAGGATAAAAGGGAGGTTATTTTCGAAAAATCGACCAGACACACACATACACCAAAAAAGTAGTTAACTCTTAATTTTTTAAAACTTATTTTAAATAATTCTTAAAAAATAAAAAATATATATGAAAATGGATTTATCTTTAAATGCTTGTATAATTTGGATTTGTTAATAAGTCTTTATCAATTAAGTCATGATGATTTTGTACGAATCAAGGAATATTGATCCTACCCTTTTTAAGTCTTTTGACTATATATTAAAAAATATATCTTTTTCTTTTAAAAAAGTTAATAATTTTAAAAACAAAGAGGTGTAGACAATAATAGAAAAACACATCGTGAGTGACGTAAACAAAGTAGAGTGATTTAGCGGACGGTGCGCCAATGAAAACGTCAGCTAAACGACAGCGTTTATACCGGAAACAAAATGTAATAGTCTACGTCATCACCAATGGGGATGGCATAAGCAATAGATAGATCTAGAGGTAGAGTGGGCCCTACAACGTGGCATTGACAATATTGTCCCAAAAAATTATTTTAAAAAATAATGTGACGTGCCACGTAGGTGTTGACATGGACTTAACTATAACGACAAAACTACGCCCGCCACATAACACTGATATCCGTTTGTATTATGTATCTCAGATAAATGTGAATCATATCATATATATGTATCTAGTATGTATTTAGTGTGATTCCCCATTATATGTGATACATGATTATTTCGCTCGTCTCACTCCTATATAGTTGGTATCTTAGATACATGTGAATGATGAATCACATCACATACATATATTTAGTGTGATTCAGCATTATATGTGATACATGAATATCTAGCTCGCCTCTCTTCTATATATTTGATATCTCAGATATGTATGAATCACATCAGTTAAATACATCTAGTGTGTATTTAGTTTGATTCCACATTATATGTGGTACATGATTATCTCGCTCGCCTCTCTTATTTTGATGTATTTAGTAGTAGCAAAATATATGTATTTAGGTATATTTATTCTTTAATATGTGATAGAAAAATATTGATTAGTAGTAAGATACATAATTATTTGAAAATATAACTAGAATTACCTCAAATTATACTTTGATGTGTTCGTCTTTGTAAGGAAGAATAGCGTGTGTTCTTCTTTCTTTATTGAAAGAGAAAATATAAAAGGCCAAAAGTAACTTAAGAAAACTATGTTTTTTGTTTAAATTAATCCCCAAGAAAATTTAAAAATATAAATAATTAAATACATGAAAACCTATATAAAAACAATAACATAAAATTAATTTTTTTTTCCTCTTATTTTTTCATCAAAGTGGAATTTCATTAGGCCCCTAACAATAATGCTCCTTCTCTAGAAAGCTTCTCTTAATATTTCTATTTC